AACTTTGCGCTCCTTGAACTACATGTACTCACTTTAGGCATTGTAAAGTCAAACTGAAGTATTATAACGCCCTCCACATATATAAATAGAATACTTCTAAGCCCTCCAAGAAAGAATGGGATGTATATACCTTATAGTAAGACGGAGTACAATAGGAGAATACCCGTTACACTTGCCTCCCTCCTGCCTCGACTGGGAAAGGCCGGCTTGCCAGGTCATAAATGCTGCATTTCACAAATTTTCGCCTTTGTAACTGCAAGTACAGTCCAGTCAAAAATATGGTTTTTAATACGAACTTCATGTACTTGAACTCTATTCCACATTGAAGCAACAGTCCAGCCTGAAATTTATTTTGTAATACTAAATATTATGGAGCCGAAATTTTACATTATATCAAAGAATTGTTTCTAAAATGACAAAAATATGACCTTATTTCAAAATTATGCCAAAATATGCTGGAAAACCAGTAAAACTCTAAAATATGCATTTATATGCACAATAAAAATGACATAATTTCAATAAGAATGACTGGAAACATGCATAATTACATTTTAAAATAGGAATAAACCCTAGGAAAAAAATATGACATGTCATAGAAATCCGGGCCCTAGTGATGAAATAAAAAAGCGTGTACTTGCGGCAAATAAATGTCTCCATGGCCTTAGGAAACACCTGAAATCCTAATTAATACCCAGGAAAACCAAAATTGTGATGTATATAGTATTTATAAGATCAGTGCTATCTTATGCCTCTGAGACGTGGCCACAGTCAAGATGGTATGAAAGACTGTTAACTATATTTGAAAGGAGGATCTTGAGATATAGCTTTGGGCCAGTGGAAGAAAATGGAATATGGAGGAAGAGGTATAACCATGAGCTATACAAACTGTTTAATGAACCAGACATTATTGGATTTATAAAGGTGAAGAGGCTTGAATGGACTGGACACATAATACGTGCCAGTGAGAATAGAACGATTAGGAAAATACTTAATACTAAACCAGAAGGAAGTAGGAGAGTGGGAAGACCAAGATTACGATGGGAAGAATGTGTGTGGCAGGACATAAGAATTTTGGGCGTAAAGAACTGGAGGAATGTAGCATCGAATGGAGAAGAATGGCGAGCAATCCTGAGGAAGGCCAGGGCTCACGAATGGCTGTCGTGCCAGTGGTTGGTGGTGGTGGTGGTGGCGGCGGCAACGACGACAAGTATCCTTTAGAACAAGCATGTTTCTTAATTTTATCAAATCTCGTAATGTCAAAGTTGCACTGTAACGTGAAGCACATCATCTTCTGGGACACGATCTCTGTAGTCTGGTAGACATTTGTTGACATTTCAGAGGACTGCTGTCTCCATCTTCATGACCAAATCTGAAGATAGAGGCAGTGCATTTCTCTGAATCACTGGTACACTGCTACCAGACTATGTGGAGTCACATCCTAGAAGATGGTACTTTTCATAGTCACTACCATGAGAACCTCAAATTCTACGTCAGTGCTGATTGTCATCACCATATTCAGAGAATAGGCCTTGTCATCTGTGCATTCACTATCTGTCAATAATGCGACAATCATTTATTTATATAGCTGCTAAAGGTAACAACACACAAGTAAGAGATTACAGATCGCAGATGTAGCAAAACAGCGGGCTAATGAACAGGAAAATGAGCTGCTGAAAAACACTTTCTGGAATAAACATAACTGTAAACAAGTGGACGACACCCCATATGAGGTGGAATAGGATTTTATGAAAAGTTTTAATAAAAAAAATTTAATGGATATTAAGTAATTATTTATTTTAAGTGGACTGCAATGCACAATTTAGCGCACTTCAGAACAGTGTAACAGTTGGACACATTAAAACATCTGAAGATGGCCATCTGTGGCTGAAACATGTTGTGTTAAGTGTTAAATGGTGAATAAACAATTGTTGCGTTATTGACAGACTGTGAATACATAGACGTTTGGTTAAAAATTTGCAACAGAATGCTGAAATACAGACTTACATCTCCTTTTGTCTTAAGAGAGCTGTGCAGACAGTCTCTTTCTTGACCTTTAAGAATTTATTGCTCTTGTTTAATGATATTATATTGCTGCTGTTGGGAATTGGTCTTTGTTCATATTTTTTGTATGTTTGAGTCCCTGAGTAAACATTCAGTTTACTGTAAAGGTCATGTTACTACATTTGAACATGAAATATGTTGCAGAAAGAATTTTTGGCAGAACCCAAGTACGTGAAAGAACTGACACCAGGTAGGATGCTGCTGATTAGCCACAAGGAACACATCAATAAGCTTGGGATCCTGCTGAGTTTGGAAACAATCAAGAAAGATAGAGCCTTCAGAGTACTGGTTCTGTGTAATGATGAGAAAACTAGAACAGTTGATTATGGTGATGAGATTCAACTCTCTGTTGCATCATCTGACAAAGAGAAGTCCGAAGAACAATATAAACCTGATCCATTATGGTACAAGATGCTTGGTCTGGCAAACAAAAAGAAAATTTTTGTCCCAGATGAAGTGGGTGGACATACAATTCTGACTGTGACAACCGATGATATAATAGACATTGTGAAGAACAAAGTCAGTGTAGACACTAATTTAGTGATTCAGGACTGGGAGAAGAGGCAAATATCCAGGTTCAGGTAAGGCTCATAAATTACCAGCAAAGATGAGATATTTTATTCTCATACCTTCCACACTGTTACTTTTTCCTTGTGATATGGTTGAATTGTTTGCAGTATGGCAGTTGGTATTGACCATAATATCACAGACAAGTGAGTGTAGCAGTCATACTTGGTGTGGAAAAATTCAGGCATCTGATGGACTATATTATAGGTTTAAAGTATATTACAATTTCTCTCTTATTTACTCTGTGGCAGTAATGTTTCTGATCCAAAATTGCCATTTCTACAAAGGATATTTCAGGAGATAAAGAGCTTGGTGGCACAGGCACACAGAAAATCACACCATTTGTCAAGAATTTTTCTAACTTTATGTGTATCACATTATAAGAAATTAAACCAAAGCAGAGTGTTTCTTAGAAAGTTTGTAGATTTGTTCATGAAATGTAAACTAATTTCACATGTCACCTTACAGAGATTCTGCGCACCAATATACTGCCATATTGTACAGTTACCATGTTTTATTGTTTTTAAGAAGTTGTTAGATGTATGTTCTGAGCTACCATCATATAGATCTTCAGGATCAAATTGTGGCATGTAAACCCATTGCTAGGTGGCAACTGCAAGATAGGCGACTGCCCATAAACACCAACAGAGAAATGGTGTTTTCTGTGCAGTTTGCACAAAAAACTGCACGCATAACAGTGGAAACAGCAACAGAGGAACTGTTTTCTGTGCAGTCCATGCTGAGGTGTTATAATCAGGACAATTAATGAGCGTTCATATTGTTGTTCGACTGTCAGAAGTCATTGTTTCCGACATTCTGGACTCAGATCGCCTACCAGTCGTTTTCCACTTACTGAGTCATATTAGAACTAGGAACCTTTCAGACCCGGTTGACAGATTCGCAGATTTAGAGGCGTTTCAAAGCCTGGCCTCTGAATTTCACCAAGAATCCAAATTAACTTGAGAAGAAGCCGATAAAGCAGCCTGTGACTTCAGTGCCTCTATAGCTTCAGTATATAGGCCATCAACAGGCAAAATTACACTCTAGGGCTTAACAACTATCTGCCTGCTCTGGACAGTCTGCTAAAACATAAGCGGAGGTTAAGTAAACTGTGGCAAGTAACCCAGGATCCATCATGTAAAACAGCAGATGAATTACCTGCAGAAAGGCACTCAAATGGGGGGAGACAAAAGTAGGGAACTGTGAGGTCGCACTTCAAGCTGTGTGGCCTGTTGCAAAATCGCTTATGGAAACGGATGTACCAAAGACACTGACCACCATTCATGGGTCTTTAAGAACAACATATTGCCTGAACAAGAAAACCAATGCGATTGCAGTTTGTTTAGAAAACCAGTTCACATCTCATGACCTATGTGACGAAAACCATGAGTGACCAGTGGAGATTACAGTCCAAACTCTGCTCACATCTGTAGGTGACACCCCATTGGGAAAAGTAAGACCTTTCGACATACATGAATTAGTAAATTCGTTGAAATTAAGAAACACTTGAGGACTTGATGGTATTCCAAACAGATGCCTGAGGCATTTTCCAGGAAGACCACTGGTACATCTGACATATTAATGTAATCACTGCTCTCAGCTGTCCCATTTTCCAAAGCCTTGTAAAGAAGCAGAAGTTACAGCATTACAAAAACTTGGTCAGGAACAAAACCTCCCTCAAAATTTACGTCTGATTGGCCTCTTGTTCACCATAGGCAAACTATTCTAGAAGGTTATTCTGAAAATAGTCCAAAGGCACATTGAAGAAAGAGGCCTGCATAATGCATGCCAGTTCGGTTTCCATGCCCATCACAGCACAACACTTCAATGTATGAGACTTACAGATCACATCACCTTAAATTTCAACAATAACATGCCTGCAGCTGCGGTATTCTTGGATATTGAAAAAGCCTCTCATACAGCATGTCACTTTTGCATGTTATATAAATTATCTAAATTAAAATTTTTACATTCTAATCAAGATTATTAGCTCCTTTCTTAGAGAAAATTCAGAGTGTTGGTTGAAGGTTTAATGTCTATGCCAAGGGATATACAACCAGGGGTGTCACAAGGTTCATTCCTGTGCCCCGAATTGTACAGTGTGTGTGTGCCTATCTGGGTGTCTTTACTAATGACACCTTTATATATGCGACAAACTGCAGATAGGGTTATGTTCTCAGAAAGCTGCAGTGAAGTGTCAGTGCTGTTGAGACGTGGTCTGAACACTGGATCATGAAAATCAGTGAAGATAAGCCTCAGGCCATCTACTTTCCTCATAGGCTTAGGCACCCTGAGGCTCATCTTACACTGAATGGACAGAATATCCCCTTCGTCAGTCATGTGAAATATCTGGGTGTGATCGTCAATAAGAGGTTTACATGGAGACTGCACATGCAAATGACTGAAGACAAGGCCTTCAGAACATATATTAGAACCTACTCCCTACCCAGAAGTGAGTTTTAAGCACCAACACGAAACTGACCCTCCATGAAGCACTGATAATGGCACGCTTGCCCCACTTGGGAATTAGTGGCATGCACCCACCTCTTAAAATTGCAGTGGCTGCAAATCAACGTTCTCCACACCATTGGAAATTTTCCAAGGTGGACACCAATCTGTGATTTGCACACAGCTTTCAACCCCTATGTGTATATGATTACATAACAATTATTGTGCAGGCAACAAATAGAAGTCATATGAAGTCATGAGAATGAACATGTTCACAGCATAGGACAAGGCAATGGCAGACATAGAAATTACAAGCAGCTTAAACTTGGTGGTGGTTTAGCTTCTGAGTGTTCAAGTGACTGAGCTACTGTTGTAGTGTAAAAGGAAGAATTTTCGGTAACATTCTGTATGTGTGATACATACACTTGACAGAAGGCGAAGCCTATTCAAAAGAGACGAACCCATCCTGTCATCAGATTAGATGGTACATAAGGTATGACTGGAAGGGTTCAGTTGTAAAAAGAAACTGATTGTGAGCCCCAAAGGGCTTGGCACCAAGACTATCTGATTAGTGGTAATCTGCCAGTCATAAAGGAGTTGTGTCGAAAGTCAACAGTTGGAGCAATGAGTCAGTTGTGAGACAGTCGCCAGCCAGTAAGAATGTGAGTAAGGAAGCAGAGGGCACTGTTGGGATCCATCACCAGGCAACAACTGGTGAAGACACAGCAGATTGAGAAGGCTTAATACATGCTGTAGCGAACCGCACAGTATGTGAATTAGCAATAGCGCTATAGTTACTTATATAGTTACAATCTGTAAATGTTCAGCAAATCCAATTACCAATCCAAACCCCATCTGTAGTTACTCCATCACATGACAATATATTGAATTGTACTAGTATTGTTTCTGCCTTACCTAATCTGGAAGAAATGGATAAGGTTCCAAATAAGCACCTTTTATTCGTTTGGAATTTGAAAAATATATGGATGACCTCTTCTTTTGAAATTTCTCGAAACAAATTTTTGAAGATTGTCATAATTCTTAATAACTGTGATTACTGTGTGCCTTGTCCATCTTATCATTTTTGTTTTAATCCTCTAACACTTTTAGGTGAGATGAGTGTAAATTGTAAATCTCAAATTTGGCTTCCTGTTGTTCTTTTAAATAATTAGATTAATATTTATACATTCCAAACATCAGTATATTAATTATTTTAATTTTATTCTATTTAATAAATTTATGTGTTAATGGTAGAAATATTAATTTTAACAACTTGTGAAGCTCCTCCATATGTAATTTTTGCCATTTATCTGTTCATATCTCCTAAGATCAAATATTCTTACCACTTTCTTCTTGAACACCCTCAAAGTGTGTTGTGCCCTCACATCAAGTTTTATGCTCATATAAAACAGAAGATAACATTTTAATTATATATATATATATATGAATTTATAGGAGAAACTGTAAAATAACTGAACTGATTCTAAAATGAAGGACGTTATTGATTCTGAAATGTGGTCTGCTTTTAATTTCTACAAGAATATAATTTTGGTTTATAATTGTATATTCCAAACGCTTGAACATTAGTACATTTTTCAAAACATTTATTGGCTGTTCATTTACTGTGGTGACAAGACATGAACATATGCTTGAAACAACTTAAACAGATGTATTGTAAAATGTAACAGTTTTATTTACATCTCTCAGAACAGCCACATTTTAAGCTTTTCATACCCACTTCTATTAAAGAAAGAAAGTAGTCTTATGGGATCACCATGCTGTCTTTGGCAATTGTGTGTTTGTGTGTGAGACAATTACCATTTATTTCTTATTCTTAGAGATGATCCGCCTGGACAGACATGCAGTCAAGCTGTCCAAAGGCTGACAGAGTTTACTAAGAATGTGTCATCAGGCACTGTGCCTCTGGAATTTGTGGGCCCAGCCAAAGATATACATTTGAAGAACTTTGACGTACTACAGAAACTGAATGATCTAGAGCAGAAGTTAAATGATTGCACGAGCATGAATATTGCCAACTTTGAACAACTGGTAATACAATATATTATATATTCTCATATACATATTCATTATTCACAACATAATTTTTCCTTTCCATACAGCAGGCTCTTAAGTAAGTTAAGTAAAAGTTGTACACTTGAATAAGTATATAGTATAGGTAATAAATATCTTTGCATATGTGCATGTGGTGACCTCCAAATATTGATCAGAGACAAATTGTGTATCTTAATGACTTGATAGTTTTAAGATTCCTCTGTATCGTAGTGGTACAGACTTCAGGAAAGAGAGTAATATAATACAGCATTTTTTTATTTTTTTATTATTTTTTTCCCCATTTTTTAATTTCATAGAAGAGTGAAAAATGTGTTGTCCTTTCAGTGCTTCTGTTTCTGTATAATCAACATTCATGGTTATCAACTATTGAATCCTTTTATGAGATGACTGAGAATTTGAAATAGCAAATTTCTGTTTTTCGGAATTCTGTACAAAGGAAAATGGGTTCATTCTTAACAATCTAGTTTTTATTTGAAGATAGCTGAAAAATGTATTAACTTCAAATTATTTTATGACCCTCTGCAAAATTGAGCTTTTAGATTTAAAAACTCTCTGGCAATGAATAAGTACAAGCAAGATTAAATGCTATATGCTAAAGGGTAACTTATGCAGAAGATCTGATGAGGCTCCAACACCATGTCCTTATACTGGTATGTGATGATCCTCTTATAATTTTATCTAAATGTAAAGTTAAAGTAATTGTTTCAATCACATAAATCATCTGGGGAAGTGATACATTTTGTTGGTTCACCAGTTTAAAGAAGTATTCAGATGTAAGCAACTGGAACAGAAGAGAGAAGATTTGCTGTACAAGAAATCACCCAGAAGCCTATCACTGTATCCAGAGTTTAAAGAAAGAGTATGTGTGCTTCAAGAACTTGGGTACATAGACAAAAATAATTCAGGTGAGTGAAAAAAGGAGTTATATGAATATTTTAGTGATGCATTACGCAGATAACTTTTAGAGAATCACCATTTCTTACATATCAGGAAAGACATACACTCAACTCTTGATTATCCGGGGGCGGATAAACTGGTTTGCGGCTTAACCGGGGCTANGAACAGAAACTCGTGTGAACCGGGCTTCGAAATGTTAAGCAGTGGGGGTGCAGCCAGAAGAGTGGGAAGAAAGTGAGAATGAGGAAGAGGTGGACAGTGGTGCTAGTAAGAAAATATCACATGGTGCTGCTCTTAATCATTTGGAATCAGTTTATTAAGTGACAAGCTAATATTACGTAGGCTTCGTACGGATATCCGTAGAAAGGAAAATGCCGTGAAAAAGCAAACGACAATATTAAATTTTTTAAGTGTTAAGTGTGAATATTCGTAAAAAGTGTTGGATGTTGTTGAACACTGTGATTGAAATAACTAATTCATACTTCAGTGTAATGTAAAAAAAGTATTAAATAGGCCATGAGATGACATAAAAATGAGATTGAATAAATTTAAATACAGGTAGGCCTATAGTATATTATGAAGGTACAGTATTACAGTACTACTTTTAATAAAATTTGTCTTAACCGGGTTTTCAATTAATCGTGATTTCCATCCCCACCATTATCCTGGATAATCGAGAGTTGAGTGTATATGAAATTTAATTTCTTGTCTCTTTTTACCCTGTAGCGCTGAGTAGAGTGAAATATACAATACAGTATGTCAGTTGTACCTGAAAAGATATTTTTTTCCTTTGCCCTTTATGTGTGTGTGTATATAGAACAACATCAAAAGAAATGGCTTGGAAGCTATGGAAGGTGTGACATTTTTGTAGGATTTTTGCTTTTCCTGGTTCCTAACTCATGATTTTAGTCCTCAGTAAGCAGGTAAAGTTGTCTGTGTATTTAACGAATTAAGTACTACGCCCTGAGGGCATATGGGGGAGTGGATGTATAGATCCACCTTTTCTTCACCTTAACATTAGCTGGAGGTGAGTGGTCAGCTTCACTTCCCGGCCGCTTTACGCCTGGTGAAAGAGCTCCAGGTACCCATTGGATAGGACGTTGGATGGACCTCAGAGCCAGTCTGGATGACTTGGAGAAGAGAAAAATCTTGACTCTACTGGGACCAAACTCCAACCCCTTGGTTATTCAGCCAGTAGCCAGTCGCTATACAGACTATGCTACCTCTGCTCCTTTTAGTTCTTAGTTCTATCTGATTGTGTGATGAATGGATAGACACTTAAGGATTAGGAATACAACTGGGGACCATAATATTCTGGGACTGATTTTTTTCCCCATTTTTTTTATGAACTAAAAGTCGTGCCTCTTAGTCATAGGTACCACTTCAAAGCATTGCATGCAATGATTCCAGTGATCCTGCCCCTTGCAGAAGCAGTTCTGATGCTCTCCTTGCAGGATGTTCATTTCCTATATTACATTATGAAAAACCTGCCACCTTCTGAAATGCCTTTCCCTTGTGGGTGGTTTCCAGCTTTGAGAACAAAATGAAGCCAGTAGGTGCTAAATATAGTGAATAAAGTAGACATATTGAGGAGTGAGATTTGAAGAATACAAAGGATAGTCAGATTTGGTTGTTGTGAAATTTCACCATCCTTGTAAATCCTGTGGTTGTATAGGTATGTACTTTACTTTTAAGACAAGCTTATGGTCTCAAGATTTGCCTGATGTCACAAAAGAACTTTTCATATACATCTATACAGCACTTGTGTTATGTGAACTTCATTTCTTATGGAAATGTTCATATTTGTGAAGGATAATTTATGATTTTCTTTGATTAGTGAATAAATGTTAATTAGCACCATCTTAAGAAAATATTTCTATATGATCTGTCTCATTGGCTGTTGATGTGGTTGATGACAGTCCAGCTGAAGGGACGGGTTGCTTGTGAAATGGGGAATCATGAGCTGATGATCACTGAAATGGTGCTGCATTGCGTCTTGGCTGATAAGCAACCAGCTGAGATAGCTGCACTGCTGTCATGTCTTGTCTTCCAGCAGAAAAGAAAAACTGAACCAGTTCTAACAGAGACACTTAAAAAGGTAATTCATTGTAATTTCTGTACATATCTGAAATAGAATTTCTCAATCTGTCTCGTGTCATATTACATGCTCTAAATTATGAAGACATGCCGGGAGAAAAAAATTGAAGTGGTGAAATAGTTGGAAATCAGGCAAGGGCATTATATGTAGTTTGGGGCTTAAGAATGTTATAAGTGCCAGTATTTGAGCTTGAGGGGCTTGTGGCAGTGTAGTTGGTTGAGGCACTATGCTAAAAGTCAGAAGGTCGCGGGTTGAAGTCCCGATGAAGTGGATTTTTTTCAATTCACCTAATCCTTCTAGCTGCATTATAACCCTGGGGTCAACTCAGCCTCTAACAGAAATGAGTACCAGGAATTTTCCTGGGTGGTAAAGAGTGGCTGGCACATAAGGCTGACAACCTTACCACCATCTATAAGCCAATTGTCTAGAGAAAATTTGGGAGTCTTGACATCTCGCAACCCTGCGGGCCTTTACAGCCTGTTACAGTGATAGCTTTAGTATTGGAGATTTGTGAGTGTTTCTTAATTATGCCCTGTGGTTGATGGGTGTGTTTTTTAAGGTTTTATGAATCTCCCCATATCATAATAAAACAAAAAACAAACTCTGTGGCCTATAGTCCGCAAATGAACTATACTGACCGAGCGACCGCTGCTTGTCAGCAAAGTTAGTGCTCGGTCCACTCAGCATGGCGGCCACTGATTGGCCTATTGTACCTGCCCTGGGTGATTATGATAATGGAGAATTTGGTGGAATGAAGATTGGCAGGGGAAACTGAAGTACTTGAAGAAAACCTGCCCCAGCGCCACTTTGTCCACCACAAATCCCACTTGGCCAGACCAGGGATTGAACCTGGGCCGCAACGGTGGGAAGGCAGTGACTAAACACTTGAGCTGTGGCGCGGTCAGGGTGTCACTTGGTCAGCGCAACAAATCCCCGTGGCCATTAATCTCGGTTTTCTAGACTGGAGCCACTATTTCCTTGAATTAGCTCCTCAATTAACCTCAGAAGGCTGATTGGACCCCGTTCCAGACCAACTACTTCTCAGAAAGTCTGGTAGCGCCGCGAATCGAACCCGGAACCTCTGGATCTGTAGCTGGGAACTCTGACCACTAGACCACAGAGGCAGTCTCCCTTTATAACAGACTTTAAAAAATGCTTCACGTTGAATTTGTTTTATGAATAAGTCACCCCTTACTCTGGCACATATGAGGGATGTTCAATAAGTAAGGTTTCCTAGCATGTAACATTTGTGTTACTTGAGCTTTTTCTTTCCTGTAAGTTGTAGCACAACGTGCAACAAATAGTGCAAAAGTTGGTCAGTCAGATGCTAAGATGCAATTATAAAGACGTGGAAACAGCTCTTGGTGAGTGGTTGTGAATGTAAGACCCCAGTTTCTATGAGAAAATGGTGATACTTATTGGAATAAATGAGTTACATTGAACACTGTCATGACTTCTCATTTAATTTGTGACGTAGGGGACCTTATTTATTGAACCTTCATACTTGACATGTAAATCTGCAGGTATTTGTTTTGATTAATGCGTATTGGCCTTATGTGTGGTGCAGCTGGCTAAGCATTGTATTATTTCACTACTCATGCTGTTACACCAAGTTAAAATCCAATTGCCAGCTCCCCAAGGAGATTAAAAATTCTGTTCCTGGATGATAAAAGTTTAACTCTCTTTTCCTAAATATGTATGGGCTAGGATAACTCAGTGTGTAGAGTGACTGGCTGTGGGCTGGGTAACTGGGATCAGTACCTGCTGTCCAGGGTAGAGATTTCACCACCACCTTAGAGCAGTTTTTTGGATCTGTCAATTCATATGAGTATGCAGGTCTCTTTCTGCAGTGCTAATACAGCTGAAGCATGATGGGTATAGAATACATGTTTTTGTTTCTCTTTTTTTATTTTTCTCCGTTGAGGACTCCATTCTGTAACTGTTGATAGCCGTTATAAATCTCATTTCTGCTGTTTATTAATTTGGTATTTGCTGTGGAGTAGAGTTTAAGTTCTTATCCTCTGAGCAATATAACAGGTCTATTCTAAAATCTTTTCTGGCAATCAGCCATGTCATTGTTGATTTAAAAACCAATGTTTCCAAGATCTCTTCCTTCTCAGAAATGTTGGTTTTTAACTTATCATTGACACGGCTGATTGCTGAAGAACATTTCAGCACATTTATTCTCTATGACAGCTTCAGATCTTACATATTATAGACAGTGTCACGTAACTTCGAACAAGGCCCCGCATTCATAGTCAAATCACATGCATAGCTTGTGGTGGGAGGAGTTTCTTAACACTTGTTCTTCCGCTGGCTGCCTGTCATTTCTCCCACCATCCACGCCCGTGTCTGAAATGTTTCTTCTGGCATTCAAGGTTACTCTTGGCCTTTTTCAAAGTTACGTGACACTTGCTATACAACTACAGTACACAATAACAGTGATGACAGGACTGCCATCTGTAGGACTGTACTGTGCTAGTTATGATTTATTTGTTGCATTAAATTTGTATGCGAAATTAGTGTTGTAGTTACCATGAAGTATTATTTAGTACCTCTGTTTTTTTACTTGCAGGGTGTACGACAGATTGAAGAAATAGCAAAAAATGTGGAATGTATGGAGAGGAAGTATGGCATAGAGTCAGGACACGATAAACTGAACTCTGGGCTCGTGGAGGTTGTGTATGAATGGGCTCAAGGAAAAGTAAGTTCATACATAAAATTCTTGGCATGGTTTTGTAATTAAAAGGGTTTCAAGCAGGAGCAGTCTGTCAGGAAAATATACAGAACAGTTCATTAAGTGTATCTGTATTTGAACTTTGACATCATTAATGTATCAACCTTGAGAAGGAAAATAATTAGATATTTGTCAACATATTTGTAATAGGACATCCTTCATGAAATTTGTGGTAGTCACATGAACATTTAACATGGAAACAAAGCCACTGCCATTTAAGCTGTATGATAAACATGATGTTACAGCACATAACACAATTGATGTTTTATCTTTTTGACAAAACTTTCATATTAAGATTACGTACCCCAAAGGTAGTATGTTTTGTGTGTGCAGGCATGTCCTAACAACTTCATTCCTGATGGTTTTATAGGGTTAGAGGTTTGTGACTCACAGGGAATTAAATGCATCAGAATCCATGCATGGTGCATAAAATATATTATAAACAACTTCTGTTCTTCCCATGGATTAGGTTGTTTATTCCCTGTTCCAAAGGAAAGATGCTGTTGAGCCTTTCATTTCTTTCTAGGAATACTTGGCATGTAAATAAAAAGTATGTATTTTTCTGATCACTGTAGTCACTCTGCTTTAAGAATAAAAGGCCAAGTTCTGTGGTCCCTTGGTGTGCTTAAAGTTATAGCTGAATGCAGGGATGAGAGATTTAAGTTTTATCAAGCATACTCATGTCATCAGCTGAACTGTGTGGAACAAATGATCTGTTGAGATGAACAAAGGCATAACACACTGAAAATACTGTATATATATAATTACTAAAATATTAGGATAATTGCATCCAGCTTCTTAGGCCCTAAAACACATTGATACAGTGCTTTATTAAAAAGCAAATATACCTTGGAACCTAATGTGTGAAGAGGGTTCTGTATATTTGTAGTTGTATTTGAATGCATATAAAATTGTTGTGTGTGTTAAAATAGTCTCAAATATGTGCTTGCAGCCTTTTTGTGAGATTATGCAGTTAACTGATGACGTCCAGGAAGGCATCATTGTGCGGTGTATCCAGCAGTTAAATGAAACATTATGTGATGTGAAGAATGCTGCCCACCGAATTGGAGATCCAGCACTTAAACAGAAGATGCAGGAAGCATCAGATGCTATCAAGAGAGACATTGTATTTGTTGCTAGTCTGTATACAAGTGAAGACAATCCTAAACCCAGTCTGTAGCATATATTATGAGATTCTACATGAAAGACTTTGCCTGATTGGTGATGAATGAAACTAGCAGGATTCAAGACAATATATTTCACAGTCTTATGGTGTGTGACTAGAGGCAGGGTTTGGATTGATAATTGAATTTATTGAACACTTACAGATCATAACAAGTAACTATAGCACTATTGGTAATTTGCACACTCTACAGTCTGCTCTCCCTTCACCAGTCATTGCCTTGTGATGGATCCCAATGATGTCCTCTGCTTTTATGCTCAAGTTCTGGTGACTGTCCCAAAACTAACTCATTGCTCCAACTGTCGGCTCTCAACTAACCCAACTCCACTCCACTGATTCCTTATGTAGCCTCATCGTGGACCACACAGAAAACACCGCTTCCAGCAGTTCTTCCATTGTTGTCTACATATGTTGCTTTGGTACTGTTCTGTATTTACGAAGCTGTTTCTCTGGTTCCTTATTCTAGCTGTCAGCCCGCATGTCACGATAATGACAGCATACTGTTCATAACTTTAATATTTACAGTACCAATTTGAGAGTAAAGTATACTGACTAAAGCTTAACGTGTAACTTAGAACCTGTGAATCGAAGAAATACAGTGAAACCCCTGTTTAAGATTTCTTTGGGTACCACTGGTTTTTAACACTAAATTGAGGTAATTTTAACACGAGTATGTTGACTTGCAATCTCTGAAATTATATGTTAATTAAGAAAAAACCTAAAATCAAAGAATGTTAAATGGAGCTTTCATTGTACTCCCATTCAGTGTTTCACTAAAAATTAGCATGAAAATCCATATGTTTAAATTCAAAATGAACAAGAACTTTGTTATTGAGGCCTGGTAATGCGGTTCATAATAACGTTTGTGTTCTTTGTGCAGTTCAGTCTTCTGGACTGTTAATGGTTTGTAGTTTGGAGACAGTCTGGTCTTTTTTTAGGGAACATTGGGCTGTCCCCAGACTATGCAGCATTACAACCCAGAAGACCATATTCTGCATAAGCATTGCTGTGGGAACCTCGAATCGAACATTTGTGTTCTTTGCTTTAAAAAGCTTGTTTTAATGTAATTGAAATCATGTGCTACTTTGTTCAAAGGACATAATGAGGTTTTGAAGCATATGGAAAGGTATGTGATGTAAACCTAATAGCAGACAAGCCATACATGGAAAAACAATCAAGTTTTGTAAACAGTTTACACATACCATCACTTTCCATATACAAATTATGCAATGGCAAAAGAAATATTAACTAGTCAAAGTGCACTGAAAGAGTAAGACTGTTCAGTAGTAAAGTTGCCGAATTCCATTCTGAAGTACAGAGTTTAATTCTCACTAGAAATCGGCTCTAGAATTTTAGTTTTTCTCAGGCACATGTAGTGACTGTCAGGTTAAGCATTATAATAGGCTATGGTGACATCCAAATTCTTTCCAGTGCTGGCCAATCAATCCTGTGCAGCAGAGTCCTTGGGAAGCTAAGAAATACCCTGCCTCTTATGGGACCTGGTTTATTACCATGTTCGTAAGAGCCTGCCCAAGTTTGAGGCCCTGTGTAACACTGTGGAAGGTGCTAGTTCTCATAGTGAGGTCTATCCCCTGCCTAACCTCTGGACTGGAGGACTACCCCTTACTGAGTGTTTGCAACTACTTATTCGGTATTTTTGCACCCTCCATACCTGAAGGCCATGCCATGGTAACAGTTGCTCACCATACATAATCGTCTGCTCATGTTGTATGCTAAATAACCTGTGCAGTTAATATACTGTCATTTAAATATGAATTAAAATATGTAACTGAAAATAAAGGTTGATATTTGCTTATCTGTCAGTCACGGTAGCCAAGCTGTCTAAGGCACATACTGTCTTCACTCACTCGGAAGCCAGGATCACGGGTTTGAATCCCGCACAAGGCATGGACGTTTGTTGTGTGTATGCGTTTATTCTGTTTGTATTGTCCTGTGTTTAGGTAGAGGTCTTGCGACAAGCTGATTACCTTTCCAAGGAGTCCTACCGTCTGTAAAAATGATCATGAAACTGATAAANGTAATGTGGTTCATAATAACGTTTGTGTTCTTTGTGCAGTTCAGTCTTCTGGACTGTTAATGGTTTGTAGTTTGGAGATAGTCTGGTCTTTTTTTAGGGAACATTGGGCTGTCCCCAGACTATGCAGCATTACAACCCAGAAGACCATATTCTGCATAAGCATTGCTGTGGGAACCTCGAATCGAACATTTGTGTTCTTTGCTTTAAAAAGCTTGTTTTAATGTAATTGAAATCATGTGCTACTTTGTTCAAAGGACATAATGAGGTTTTGAAGCATATGGAAAGGTATGTGATGTAAACCTAATAGCAGATAAACCATACATGGAAAAACAATCAAGTTTTGTAAACAGATTACACATACCATCACTTTCCATATACAAATTATGCAATGGCAAAAGAAATATTAACTAGTCAAAGTGCACTGAAAGAGTAAGACTGTTCAGTAGTAAAGTTGCCGAATTCCATTCTGAAGTACAGAGTTTAATTCTCACTAGAAATCGGCTCTAGAATTTTAGTTTTTCTCAGGCACATGTAGTGACTGTCAGGTTAAGCATTATAATAGGCTATGGTGACATCCAAATTCTTTCCAGTGCTGGCCAATCAATCCTGTGCAGCAGAGTCCTTGGGAAGCTAAGAAATACCCTGCCTCTTATGGGACCTGGTTTATTACCATGTTCGTAAGAGCCTGCCCAAGTTTGAGGCCCTGTGTAACACTGTGGAAGGTGCTAGTTCTCATAGTGAGGTCTATCCCCTGCCTAACCTCTGGACTGGAGGACTACCCCTTACTGAGTGTTTGCAACTACTTATTCGGTATTTTTGCACCCTCCATACCTGAAGGCCATGCCATGGTAACAGTTGCTCACCATACATAATCGTCTGCTCCTGTTGTATGCTAAATAACCTGTGCAGTTAATATACTGTCATTTAAATATGAATTAAAATATGTAACTGAAAATAAAGGTTGATATTTGCTTATCTGTCAGTCACGGTAGCCAAGCTGTCTAAGGCACATACTGTCTTCACTCACTCGGAAGCCAGGATCACGGGTTTGAATCCCGCACAAGGCATGGACGTTTGTTGTGTGTATGCGTTTATTCTGTTTGTATTGTCCTGTGTTTAGGTAGAGGTCTTGTGACAAGCTGATTACCTTTCCAAGGAGTCCTGCTGTCTGTAAAAATGATCATGAAACTGATAAATCAGCCCTATGCTCCACAGTGGAGGCAAAAATAAAAATTTTTCCTCTTTGCCTTTAATGGTGAAGCTTTGCTTTAGTTCCATTTTCATACTGGCATATGCTGAAAGACAAACTTCGTGGGCTTTGTTGATGGCTTATTAGTTACAAAATTTGTATGGCGTATGTATTCAAAAACAGTGATGGTTAATTAGCATTGCACATATTTCAAATTACCCATTTCAACCTATCAGTATATGTACAATACTAATGCAGGAAGCCAGCATAGTGACTAGGCTGTGGGCCAGATATGACTGAGATGATGTTTGATTCCCAGCAGGGGTAAGATATTTTTCTTTTCTCCAGAATGTTCAGACTGGCTCTGGGGCCCACTTAATCTCCTATACAATGGGT